AGTCGGAGGCGCGCTTCGTCGGCGAGGGGGGTGTAGAACCAGTCGCTCTTCCAATCATCCCACTTCTTGCGGAGGACGCAGGGAATGTAGCGGTTCAGCACCGGCCCCCGCAGCTGGAAGTAGCAACCACCAACCACCGACGGCGGCGACACCGGCTGTACCCCGATGAACATCTCGCACAGGTGCGCGAAGATGGCCAATGTCATTACCGCGTTGGGGGTGAGGTGCGCCATCTGGAGATCGTAAAACTCCAGAACATCCATGAAGAAAAAAGAAAATGGCGGAACCAGCCATGCCATAGCAAAAGGGAGGAAGAAGACGGACCGCCCCGGGTAGTGTGGCGCCGGGCATCCCTCGCCCAGCGAGACTATCTCCCGGCCGGTGGCAGATTCCGGCATGAAGCGGCGCGGCAGCCCGGCCTGTCTCTCGCTCACGATGCGGGAAGGCGGCAGCACGCTACCGTCAAGCGGAGCGGAGCCCCGTGCCATGATGCCGGAAGAAGAGATGTTTGAGAGCGAGCGCGTGTGGCGAAGGTAGGGCACAGGAAACAAGGAGTTAGGGCGCAAGCGGCGAAGACAAGGGGAATAATGGCGAGAGGAAGGAAGCAAATCTCTTCCTCGGCGACTTTATACCCTTGCCAACGCTGTGCCCGGCTCCTCGTTTCTCGCGCCCACTATCTTGCCCCCTCGTTTCTCGCGCCCACGCTTCCACTAATCCCATTCGCCCGTTTGCGGTGCATGAGGTGGATATGCGGCTGTGGCAGTCGAGATGGAACATCTCGTGCGCGCGTTAATTACGCTCGCCGACCGAAGCGCCATCACCATATCTCCAGGAAAAACGAACCGGCTTGTCCCGATTTTTAGACCGGCCCCACCTGTCACCAGGCCTTAGGAAGTGGCGTCACGCCCGACCGCTTCCCTCGAGGAGGGCGATCGCCCTGGCATAACGCCGGGGGCTACTGTCGGTGACATGGGACCGGGAGTATCATGACTTAGAGACTTGAGGCAGACACGATCACCCACGTGGCCTAACCCCCTCGGGGGGGGGGGGGGGTCGGGCCCGAGGGTGATACGGCCGCCCTTCTCTTTGTCTCCCCGAGGGGTCGGACCGCTCCCGTCTCGGCCCCGAGGGCCGAGGCGCCCCGACCCCTTGTGGGTTTTGCGCCGCGTATATGGGGTAGGTGAGCATAGCGGGGCTCACCTAACCACATTTATTGCGGTTTGGACGAGCGCGTCACGCCGCATGTAACGCAGTGCAGCGCGCTCGTTTATCCGGTCAGTGACCAGTCACAGACCGATCAGATCGTGGGTTAGGTGGCGACAGGCGGTCTGACGCACGCCTCGCCCCATCCCGTCAGGATGAGAGCCTCCAAGCACTCGTCCCTAGCCGGAGCCGGCGTGTTAGCTCCTGGAGATGGCACGTTGGTCCCGGTCAGATATATACCAGGCTTCATCCTAACCATTACAAGCAAGACATTGTATGAAGAGGGGAGAACATGCAGATTGATAAACTGACGCGTGGTGGACAAGAATGACCGATTTGTGACCGGTCTGACACTGGTCATGTCGTCAGCAGACAGCCATGTTCCCACGTCGCGCCTGCTTCCGGCGGAAGTGGAGGTAGGTATGGGCCGTCCCATCAGAAGGTCATTCGGACGGCAACCATACAAGTCTCCGTCTGTTTATGAAAAGATAGGATAAGTCCCCACAAAAAAGAGAGAGATGGTGCATGTGGTATCCCCTTGAGGTATAAAAGGAGGACCTTGCCCACTTAGATGGGGGATTTATTTTTTTCGGATCCAGAACGACCAGAGAGGGAGAGAGTAAGAGCTCTCTGGTTCTCCAGCTTTTTTGTAGCTTCTTCATACATAGATCCACAAAAACACAGGAGTAGGGTATTACGCTTCTCAGCGGCCCGAACCTGTATACATCGCCCGTGTCTTGTGTGTTTCCTTTCTCGCGAACCTTCCACACACAGACTAGGAGCTTAGAATCTCATCCAGGGCCCCCGGCCGAACCGGCAAAGGGGGGCCTGCGCGGTCTCCCGGTGAGGAGCCCCACGCTCCGTCAAGGGGAGATGCAATTTACACCCTTGATGAATTATCTAAAGGCTAAAAATAATTGAGGTGATGTGTGGCTTCATGAAAAAAGAGATAATTAGCATTAACTATACTTATTGGGGATAAACTTTATAAATATATAGGATTCACCGGCAGTAGTACGTACTACTAAACTCCTTACAGCAGGTGCAATAGGATCACAGCAGGTGCGGCGCTGCACCAGCGATTAAAAAACCACATAAGCTGCACCGATCAGTTGGCGGAGAAAAGGTATAAGCGCAAGTAGATGATGAGGTGAATTAAAAAACCACGTAAATCTCTACATATTATCTTTAAATTTATCATATAGAATTAGATAATGAGGTGAATAAGAGAAGTTAGGAGAGAGAGAATAAGCCACTCATGTAAAGAGCAACCTCTATACAATCTAAAAAACAAGATGATGTGATAGTGGACTAATATTAGGGTTTGAGTAGCTGGTAGTAAGCGATACTATTAACCTTGCTCATATGACAGGATTACACAGTCTCTTGATTTTGATTGACACGTTCCCAACCTTATCGTAAGGAAAAAAAAAAAGGTTGCTAGTACTATCTATAAACAAAAGAATGATCATGCAAATCAGGGTTCTCTAGACTCTAGTAGTACTATTTTCCTGTCCCAAAATATATAATATTTTAATCGAATGAGACACATTCACACATTCATAATATTATGTACTATCTCCGTTCCAAAATAAGTGTAGCCGTAGGAATCCGTGTCCAACGTTTGACCGTCTGTCTTATTTGAAAAATTTATGAGAAAATTAAAAAAAGTTAGTCACACATAAAATACTATTCATGTTTTATCATCTAATAACAATAAAAATATTAATCGTAAAAAATTTTCAAATAAAACGAACGGTCAAACATTAGACATAAACAGTGTAAAACTACACTTATTTTGGGACGGAGGGAGTATCAGAGACAAGAGTAGTATTAGAATTAATCTGCATGAGTACTTATTTTTGGAGACACTTTTGCAATGAACTCGACAATGATGAAAATATTGACTAGTGACATTAGTACACTACTCGAGAACTGGAGTGCTCTATAGCCTATGGCCGTGTTTAGTTCGTGTGCTAAAATTTTTTAAAGTATATGGACACGTATTTAAAGTATTAAACATAGACAAATAACAAAATAAATTACATATTCCGCCTGTAAACAGCGAGACGAATTTATTAAGCCTAATTAATCCGTCATTAGTAAATGTTTATTGTAGCATCACATTGTCAAATCATGGCGTAATTAGGCTAAAAAGATTCGTCTCGTAACTTACATGCAAACTGCGCAATTGGTTTTTTTCGTCCACATTTAATATTTCATACATGTGTCCAATCATTTAATGTGACGGAATTTTTAAAAGTTTGAAGGGAACTAAACACTACCATATCCCTGTTCTAGAGAGAGGGGGAGAAACATTACTCCTGCTAACCTGTTCAATGAAACCCATGAATGACCTCGCATAAAACCACCTTGACTAGAATCAGTCAAAGGCTCCATTTATTCTCTGAAGCAAAACAAGGTGCACAGATTCTCAATAGTACTAGCTTGTTTTCAAAACTCATATTGGACCTGCAAACGATCGACGTTGCCTAGATCCAGTTCACATTCCATAATGTAAAATGACGACGTTACTACTCTCGTAGAGACGAGCCGCGAGAGCGTGACACACGGACCTACTTGCATACTTCAGCAACACACCGAGAAGAAAATCCAGTGATGGTGTTACTCCAGGTGACCACGTACAAGCAGTTAATCCGTCATAAGACCCACCGCGTGCGCCTGCAACGTAGCCGTGTATATCCTGCCAGATTGCTTCCCAACCAACCTAATTTGGATCCGTCCTCCAGCCAATGTCCAAGCTCACAAAGGCTTCATCGATCAGGACACGGATCGACGCCGATCAGTTTCGCGAAACGCCGTATTCGTACGAGGCAACGAGGCATTACCGTCAGTACACCAACAGCTTGTCCGCTTGATTACGTGCGTTTCCATGAGTTCTATTTATCTGCGGTGGGCGGTAGCTCGCCGCTAACGCCCCAGAGGCAGCCAATGCCACGCCGCCCGGGCGCGCGAGTAGGTGGCGGCGGTAGACGAGACCCGTTCAAAAACAGGTCCATATGAACGCCGCGATGGGTCGGTACGATTAGATGCTTTCGGGCCTTAAAGATAAAAATCTGTTCCGGCCCAGTCCATACAGACGGGTCAACGGAGCAAATTACAGGCCATATCTCCATCGGTTTAAACGGCCTCGTCTGGTAGAAATAAGTCTATTTTGTCTCCCTTAACTCATGCCCCTGGTTGAATCGAATCCCTCAACCGCAAAATCAGATATAACCCGTTCCCCTAACTCTCAAAATCAGATATAAAGACGGTAACGTTAAACAGACTAGGCTGACTATGAGAAGTTCTCTTCGTACCGGCCCTGTTCTTTTAAGATGTGAGTTTATATGTGCTTTAAGGTTTAGAGAATTTTTTCAAAGAAGTACTTCCTCCATACTCGTAAAGGAAGTCGTTTAGGACAGCGACACGATCTCCAAAACACAACTTTGACTTCTTATTTCTATAAAAATATTTATTGAAAAGTGATATATGTATACTTTTATGAAAGTATTTTTCAAGACAAATCTATACATATAATTTTTATATTTTTTCAAACTCAACAACTTGAGAATTATTCATGATTTATATTCCCAAGGTTTGACTTAAACATTGTTCTAAACGACTTTCTTTATGAGTATGGAGTAGTACTGCATTAATTATACAATTTGCCTTAAGCTATCTACTAAGTTTATTTTAAATAAATATTTAATTCATTCTATAATAAAGAAATAGTCCGCGATATCTGCTTAAAAATTTAAACCAACAATCAGGGCCTCTAGGAAATTCTCGAGAAGGATCTGAACAACTTAAAATTTTCCATTCATCAACACGGGTCATGGTTAATTTTCGCGGCCCATCGTACAAAATACTAGCTACTAGTATTTGAAAGAACACACATAATGTCAATCCAAATCGTACGCGGAAGAACCCGAAATAAGATCGAGCAACTTCAGCCAGGGCTGCCTCGCAACAAAAGACGGCGCAGCAGCCCATAACTTCTCTTCTCATCGTGCCGACGGAACAAACAATAGTGGACCTCGCGATCACCACCAGACCACCAACATGCACGCGCACTAGTCATTGCAGCTCCGAGATGGCTTGCTGCATGTACTTGCACGACCTCTGGTAGCTCACGAACCCCATGAACCAGAACTCGAAGCCGTCCACCGTGACGACGTGGATGTACTTCTCCTCCGGCTTGTCGGCATTCTCGCTCGGCCGCACCTGGGCGATCCTCCTGAGCGGGACCACCACCTTGTAGGGCACCCGCGCGACGTCGCCCTTGGCCGAGGTGACCGTGACCGGCCGGTCGCTGCGGAAGGCGACCTTCTTGGTGGAGACGAAGAGCATCCCGGCGATGGGCCCGCCGGTGGTGTACAGGTAGCACTGCAGCGCCTTCACCAGCCGCTCGCCTTTCTCCGCCGAGAACGCCTTCCGGAACACGCGCTCGATCCCGCCGGCCTGCAGGATTTTCGCGCCCAGGCTCAGCTTCCCCTTCACCGTCTCCGACAGCTTTGGCCCCAAGGTCACTGCACGTTACACACGGTGATGGATATATATCAGGACACGGCGTTCATCACTTAAGTCCTAATGATCAACAAGTTTTTTTTTATGGCGAATTAAACATGCATGCATGAACGCTAACTCACCATGCTCCCTGAAGCCCTGTGCCCTTCTGCTCAGCTTGCTCACCCAGTGGATAACCTGACCCTTGCTGCCTGCAGAGATACAAGGATCACCATAAACATTAGAAACCACATGTCTTGCGTGCATCAGAAATTGATCTGACGGTTTTGATGTGATCGTGACCAATATATATACTTACTGTGCTTATAGCCGAAAGACGTATAAGGGCTGGGGTGCGACAACGAGACCGCAAGGTGATCGCCGTCGGCCTTCCTGAACGACTGGCCCCTGGCCAACGACACCTCCTCCTCTATGCCAAACGCCTTGGCGGTCACCGGGACTCCGATGACATGGACGCCGTTGATGCTTGACTTCCTCATGGCTGTTCGCTCGATCTGCAGCTAGTGTGCTTACTACGAGCCTCACGAGATCGAGCAGCTAGTGCTTGTGTTGTGTGCTGCGTTGCGCTGTTTGCCTTAGCGTGGAAGGAAAAGTGGATTGGTACCGGAGTGCAGCCACGGAGAGCGGCCTATATAGGCGTCGCGGCGGGGTGGTGGATCCTTTTCGCAAAGGCGCGCAGTGGATTTGCGGAGTCAGCAACCGGGCCGGCCGAGTCACCGGTGGATCAGAAAGGCGAGGTCCACGTTCGCGTAAAGAAGGCGTAGACCCTCCTCTTGCTGCCTGCTGGTTGCAGGCTTGCAGCTGCTCGTTTCGTGAGTGGCCGCGTCATCCGCTCGGCCATTCGGCCTGGCTAGAAATGGAGCTTTTGGAGGTAGCCCCACCTTCCATGTGAAGGCCAGGTGTGGTATATTCATTGCTCGAAAGCGAGATTCGAGATTTCTCTATGGTATCGAGACGGCCAGATGGCCATGCCCGCCGGCTGCCGCTTTCCGAGAAGCGCCCCATGTGCCTGCACATTCCTGCACGCACCGGATCCCCGGGAAAAAAAGGGGCCGGTATTGTGTCGGGAGCTACGAAAGGGGCCCCACTGCGCCGAGCCGATGCTAGGTTACTCGTACTTTGCAAGGCCACTTGTATAGCTACGTTCTTCGTGCATTGCACCGAGACGTTATGGCTCGAATGAACACACACTGTGGCGTGCACGAGAATTGTTCCCCGAGATAGCGGCCGCACGGGATCCACGGCGAACAGGTGATTGATCGATGTGGAGGAAGCAGAGGCAAAAACGACTGTGCTGTGCTGTGCACTGCTTCTTCAACTTCAAGGTTCCCTACCAAACCAAGCCCAGACGTCTTGGTCACATCCCACGCAGCACCGACTCAGCAAGGCCCCGACCTCACCTAACGCGCGCATGTAACCGTCCGCCCCCCGCGCGCGTGTCCGCTCGGCTGTGGTGCCAACTGCCCAAGGCAAGCAACGCGGTCGCATGGGCGCCCACGCGCCGTCCTTGTCGCCCGCATTTAAGCCGGCAACAGGAGGGCCGTTGCGACGCCGACCCGGCGCTTCCTCACTGCTTCTGGATCTGCAGACGCGAGCGACGTCCGCGCGCGCGACGGGCGTGCAACGCAGACAACGCAATGCGCTGCGTGCGCTGCACGGCTGCACCGCTGCGCTGCGTTGTCACAACGACAAGGAAAGCCCGTGTGGCTACCTGCTCGGAAACAGATTTTGGCGGTGGGGCTCGGGCTCGTCCCTGCGCCTGGATTACTTCAGCGTATCTTCCTGCGGAGTACGTGCCCACGCAGGGCCGGAGAAGTCGCTGGAGAAACGGGGGACACTTCCGACGAGATCGTTTTCAGGACGATCCTGCTGTTTTCTAAGGCTGCGTTTAGTTCAGCGCAAAGTTTATATTTTGGTTAAAATTGGAGATGATGTGACTGAAAAGTTGTGTGTATGACAGGTTGATGTAATGGAAAAGGGCTGAAGTTTGAATCTAAATTTTATATCTAAATACAACCTAAGGAGATGGCAGGAGAAGTAACATCAATGATGATGCTTTGTTGTCAATTGTCATGCAGTGTACTAATGTCTACCACACGGTTCATCTGCGAAATGTGGTGTTTCTAGATACGACGAGAGAACAGTCCGAGTTCTGTGTGTGAATTTCAGGTGTTCTTCTGGGTGTGAATTTCAGGTGTTCTGGAGCTGCGATTGCACCTGAAATTCCCTCTTAGGATCGTAGTTTGGTTCTGTTTAAAAGTATGGCCGAGTTTAGATCCAAACTTTTTCTTCAAACTTCTAACTTTTCCATCACATCAAAACTTTCTCACACACGTAAACTTTCAACTTTTTCATCACATCGTTCCAATTTCAACCAAACTTCCAATTTTAGCGTGAACTAAACACACCCAACAGAATCTAAGTTGAGTTTGGCAGAGTAGCAGGGAACCACAACTTTTTTGTTTTGGAAAGAATGTTTTTCAAACTACTACACGATGTGTTTTATGCAAAAGTCTTCTATATGAAAGTTTTTTAAAAAATAAATAAATCTATATAGTAATTAATACTCTATTAATTATGCATTAATGACTTACATATTTCGCGTGCTATTCAAAATCCCATCCCAACTGCTTCCAAAATCCTTAAGAGGGATTGACGATAATTTTAGCTATAGGATATCTACTTTTCTTAAAAAATTTATTGGTACTGGACATCGAAAAAAGTTTCACGATGGGATAACACAAAAAAACAGATAATTTATCCGAGAACATTTCCGGAACAGTTGGAGAGAGGAAATCTTTAAAAAAAACAAGATTCTAAAAAATAATGCAACTCTCAATCAACCATCACTTAAAGTATATTGCTAGCAGATATCATATTTCATCTTTACTTCAATGTCAGATTAAATTCTCGTTACTCTAGGGACATTTCTGTCTTTTTAATAATTTCTATCTCCAATTTGAACTGAATGTACTTGGCTAAATTATTAGTTGTTTTTTCCTCCAACCATAACACATTTTTGTGATGTCTATCACAAATTACATAAATTTTGAATGTTCTATAGCAAAATTTTCCATTGACTTGTGTTGAATTTCATTTAGGGATTGACCTATGTTAAAACGGTGAAACAAATCCAACTTGTTTCTCTATAACTTGTGTTCTAAAATTATACTTTCTTTGGTAAAAAGAAGTTCACATCGACGTGGTAATCAAAATACAATTCTAACCAATAGTTTTTAATACAAAACGTTTAAAAACCCCAATACAATTATAACACAAATCTGCACATCGATCAAGTCCATTACAAAACGTTTAAAAAGTTCTAAAATTAATTATGAAAGTACTTTACGAGACAAATCTGCACATGGATTTCCAAATATTCAACAGAAATATTTAAGGTATTGATGTCAATGGTTTTTATGTACTTAAATTAACGATCGATGGTATTCACCGAACTGAACTGGCCTAGTTGGTTGCTTGGTTGTTAAGTATTGACAGTTACGGTGGCTAGATATACAATGTCGAGAGTGGCTAAACACGTTAGCTTGGCTCTTCAATAAAGCTTCTGAAAAGCCAAGGCAATGCCAATCACACAGAGCATGGCCCTGTTGAGTTCATGCCGGTTTATTCGTAATTTCTCTATTAAAAATGAGTTATATTCATAATTTTATTTCATATTATTATGATCCGGTTATTCTGATATATTTATCTCGTTAAGTATAGTTCAATGAATTAAAGTGCCCAACGGTGACATAATGCACCTAATCACTCTTGCCAATAATTCATGCATAGTATAGTAGATATATAGCTGTGGGATCAATTTTATTGGAAGTAAACTGATGCAATCAACAAGTTTTAGAGTGATGCTGACATGATTAGATCGCATAATATTTTTTCCTCTTATACCTTTTAGGCTGTAGTTTTATTTTATTTTATTTTTTTTTGAGAAAAGTAGGTTATACACGCATAGTTTCAGATGAAAGGTCTTGATTCATCAAGTCGATCAGTCTTGCCAATAATTCAGCATATTAATTAGCTAGTTCCAATAATACACACACACACACAAAATAAATCATTTATAGTCTGCGATACCAGTTCTCTAGAATAAAAGCCAAGAAGAGATGAGCTGAAGTACTGTAGTATGTAGTGTTGAACAAACATTTTTGGATTTCTCATTGATCTTGTACATACCACATGTATATGATGGCACTTTTGCCGTGGCACTATTTTCTCCAACACCAATCAAGAAATTTGATGCACTAAAATTTCTCCTACCATGTGTACCGGACTTGCTCCAAAGCCAAAAACGCCAAGCAATCCACCACAAACACCTACGACGCTACCACATATGCACAACAGATTAACCAGACCACACACAAGGCACACGACCAAGAAACCGACGACCCAACTTCGACGTTTGTTTCATCAGAGATCGATCGATCACTGCGCCTGCGCGACGGCCAGCTCCAGGTTCTTCAGGGTCACCTGGAAGCTGACGAATCCCATGAACCAGAACTCGAAGCCGTCGTCGGTCACCACCTGGACGTACTTCTGCTCCGGCCGGTGCTTGTTCTCGCTCGGCTTGGCCGTCTTCACCCTCCTCAGAGGGATGGCCACCTTGTACGGCACACGCACCGTGTCGCCGCTCGGGGTGGTCAGCGCCAGCGACCGGTCGCTCCGGAACGCGATCCTCTCCGTCGATATGAAGAGCATGCCGGCGATCGGGCCGGCCGTGGTGGACAGGTAGCACTGGGAGGCCCTCAGGAGCTTCTCGCCCTTGCCGACGGCGAACCACCGGCGGAAGACCTTCTCCACGCCGCCTGCCTGGAGGATTCTCGCGCCCAGCGTCAGCTTGCCTTTCATGGTCTCGTACAGTTTTGGTCCTAGAGTCACTGCAAATCATCAAGAAAAGATTGTTCAGTACCAATTCTCCAATTCGCAACCATGAAAAATCGAACTCATCCAAGATCAAAAGTAGTATGGTCCAAGATGGACTGGAGAAGAACGTACCATGTTCTTTGATGCCTTGAGCGAGCCTGTCCCCTGTCCTGCCAAATCTGGAGCTCGTACGCGCGGTTGCAGAGCTTTTCGCCTCGGCGTGGTAGGCGGCTGCTCCTTCGCTTGGGAAATCCGGCTCCTCGATGCCGAAAGCCCTGTTGCTCACTGGGATCCCGATCACATGCTCGTTGCACGCTGCCTTCTCCATCTATTGATCCTTGGGACGAGGAACAACCGAAAATTCCTCCCTGCTCTTGTGCGAGGCTGTCGTTGAGTGGTGAGATGACTCCTTGATGTGCGTGGGTGGTTGTTGCTCGAGCTCCGTGCTTCAAGTAGGAGGAAGAGGGGTGCCTTTTATACAAGGGTTTTCTCCTCAGAAGGATCAAATTAAAAAGATTTGGAGCCTATCCAGTACACTTTTGAATGGAACAGTCACCGTCTCCCACCGGGATTCAGGATAAAAGGAGTTTTTTCCTATATGGAGCTGGCCTCACCTAGTGCTGTGCTGCATGTGCAGAGGGGAGGGGAGGTGCCCACTACTGCACTGCAGCTTTGTACAGTCATCCAAGCATGGACTGATACTCTATCATCCAACCAGTTGTCACGTACATGCATGCATGTTATAGCATGGATACGGTTTGGGATACGGATAATTTATGACATGGACACATGGTACCAAATTTGGGAGGGGATCAGGGGAATCAGGTAGGGAAAGAACCAAATTAAGAGGCTCTGTGGCGTGACTGTACTGTGACTGTTCCTCGCCGTCGAGTGCGTCATTGATCTTTCTATGCGTGCAACGGTGCATGGGTAAAGCAAAGTAATAATCCCAATGTGCCCGGAGCAACTTTATGTGTCCAGATTACTCCAAGTTTTCTTTTTCAAGCATTTCTGCATCTGCATGAGCAATTACGCACTCGCGCTGATCTGACGACGGGGATGACGCGGAAACAGATGGATAAACTGGGCGATGGGTCCAACCCCCCCTACTACACGATCACCACGAGCGAAGAAGTACGTACGTACGCGGCCGCGCGACCATGGAAGACGCCGTCACACGTTCGGTCACCAAGGCCCCCCCCTTTTTTTTTTCTCGCGCACTTTCGCGGTTTCCCCTGCTTTTTCCCCTTCACGCCCACGTTGCACTGAGTCAGCGTCGCGTCCTACCGGGCACCGAGTCGGATCACCCAACCGTCCCCGGTTGGCAGCCGCGCGCGCCACCGATCGTGGCCTCGTGGGTTGGGTTGGGTTGGTGCCGACGTACCGATATATCGATTGATCGATCCAGCCAGCCTGCAGGCAGGCAGGCAGATCGATCGAGCTGATGGGCTCTCGCGTCGGTCGTTAGCTCGGTCGTCATTTTCTATGGCGGGATCAGCGGCGGGCGCCCTCGATCGAGAGTTGACAGTTCGCCGGCCGGCAGCAGCATGCATGTGCTGTGATCACTGATCAGGACATGCGCATGTGTGTGCGTTATGGCTTCCCTGTCAGTGATGATGCGATCTGGCAATGTGTACATGTCTCGTTTGGATTTTTTTTTATGTGTTGCTTTTGTGACCATGCTCTGTGTTGTTGCGTGGGATATGGTCATATGGAGATAGACATCGGAGTTAAAAGGTTGTTGGGGGAGCTGGCGTTTTGATTTCAGAGGTCAAAGTGGATAACTTTAGTTTGGCCTTCCATTGACTATAGCTAAAGCACTCTTGCTGTGACAAAAAAAAAAAAAAGGAAGGAAGAAAAACATGAGAAAAGGTGGAGAAACTGCGGGATATGCGCTGGGTTTTGCGTGGAAAATATTCCCTATGCACAGCTAGAATAGATAAGGACTGGAATATACAAATAAAGAGGACATGTGTGTGTTATCTCATATTGATAGATTATTAGTGTCTGAAAGGTGAAAGTAGCATGTATCTGGTGCGAAATTGGTCTATTCAAAATCTAAATCGGTATGTCGTCAAATTAGATATACTTGGAGCTCAATGGAAAGGAGAAGCTAGCTTCATTGTTATCCAATGGCAAATGTATATGGATGCAGACACCGCATGCATATTCAGTTACTGTAGTCGTAAGTGCTTTGTAGTATATTTAACTATGTATATGACCCCCCTAGTAGCTCATCCCACTATGCGTTTAAGGCACTATATCATATTCTTATACCAGCTGGATATGTTTACACCATGAGAACAAGGATATGCGTGTGAAAAGTGATGACCCACCAAACATTGATGAGCTAGCTCTTTTACTGTTTTTTTTTCCTTAGTCGGGGAGGTGCAAGTTAGGTTGTGAAGAATGACACAGGTCAGGCCCTGCCTGCTTACTTTCAGTGTTTGCAATTTGCAAAGTCCCGTTCTATTGGTTCCACCCGGACGCATGGCAAAAGAAAAGAATGGGGGTATCAACGTGTCGTGGCATTGATAAGCCATTCACATTAGTGTAAGTAACCCCATGTATAAAGTTCTCGGAAAAAAAAGGCTATAATCCATCTTCTACTATGGATAATTCTTATGGGTTATCTATCCCATGCTATATTCTCTTAAGATATGATACACGCTTGCTAAAGATCCACCAGGTGCAACATTATAAACATATTGGGAACGTAAATAATTGACAGCAATGAAATTCCAATCATCTGCTTTTATTTGCAAAGTCTCTATTTCTCAATGATCAAAGCCTAAGGATCTTGAACCATCTCATGTATGTCTGACTAGCCAATTAGATAACCAACATTATTTTGAGGCTATTACTGACCATTGCAATCCATGACTACTACAATAGAGTTAGGATAACATTTGCCTTTTGATATTCCTCGGCCAATTGAGATTTTCCTCATATCTCAATCTATCGATAAATGCCCTTGGATCAAGATCTAATGGTCGGCTTAGCAATCTTCTTCACATCTAGCCAAGAGTGAGGTAGAAAGATAACTTGAACTCCTTTGGTGACAACATCAGTGACGCCTAAACTCTAGTAGGCTTTGACGGATTAAGCTTTTGACATTAAAGACGGTAAGAGGATGGGGGCCAATGAGAATGGCTTTAATGGAATGGTCAAGTGTTGGAAGACTAGTGGTTTTGGAGCGGATATGGACAGGCAGCAAGGTATTGATAGCCAGAGATATAGGCACGAAGGAGGGCAGCGGGTGAAGTGAGCTGTGGGAGTGATAGAGGCCTTCTAGTTAGAAGGTTGGGGGTAGCGGTTGAGGATCCGACATCTCATGGTTGAGAAAAGACAAGGGGGAGGGATGGCGACATACTTGGAGATGACAATGATGAATCTTGTGGAGAAGGAGGGGGGAAGCGGCAATCGGCTGGCATTGGGTTGACAGAGACTGGTAGAGACCAAGAGACTGACAACGGCAATCAAGTCAGGTTGGCTAGAAGTGGTGAGGAGGAGAGGGTGGTTAGATAAATAAATTAGGGTTGAACGGATCTTGAAGCAATCCCAGTTGTAAAAAAATTAATAATACTTAAGGAAAAAATATCGATGACTAATGCTACGATGCTATTATATTTTCTAAAATAAACTACTAAAATTTCATGTTGGCGAAGGTACAAGTATAAGGATGAAAACATATGATCTTGGCATTAGCTCAACGCAAATTGATACATGCCATGATACAATCACACGATTTCCTATTCGGACGGTTGTGGCATGCTATATAGAACAGGAAAACGGTAAGTAAAGATTTTCCATTTGATCGACGCAATTGATTATGTTTATATCATGGATATTAAAATTAAGCATTTAATTTTTTGTCACTTTTAAGATGTGACAATTAAGGATTTACCACTTACAGTCTATGACATGTGCGTTTTCATGTGTCTATAACATGTGGGTTCAATGGTATCTTATAAATAGTTAAATATCTTATTAAAATTATGTTCCTTAAAAAATGGTTTATGATTATCTTACCTTGTGAGGGATGTCACGTTGCCACCATTACTTGGAAAAAGCAAAATGGAAAAAATCAACTTATTATTTTTGAGAGGGAAAGTTGCATTCCTCTCGAACTAGTCCAGTACTCTCCATTTGACTTGTGTGCATTGCAGATTTGCAGAAGAACTACTGATACCCTGCGATCGAGTCACCCTTTCACTCTACCGGTGTCCCAGTCTAGGTGGAAGCAGGGACATGCGCCACGAAATGGAGCCTTATAAAGGTGCAAATTGTTCGTCAGAATACATGCAGCAGAATTGCAGAAAGCAAAATGGAGGAGGAGAGGATAGTACGTACTAATAGATTACATGAAATCAAGGATGGACCTCCACCATGTGGTAGATAAAGAAGCAGATGCATGGCTTATATCAGTGTAAAGCTACGGTTGAGCTACGTGTGTTCCAATCAAAAGCTCGCAGCAGCTTGCTTCTGCTTGATCACCTAAAAACAAATCAGATCAAATAAAAAAAAAAGGCAAAGAAGAAAAGAAAAGTTTCGCGTAGCAGACAAGACCTGGTGGTTGGCGGTTTAATTATAGGTCCTTCTCGCGCTCCTTATTCGGTGGTGTTGCAGTTTGTGTCACGGATGAATCAGCTAACCAACTCTTTGGTTTTCCCTTGGCTTGTCCAAATGCAACGCACCCAGCATCTTACAGTTGTGTTGTGTGGGGGCTGCAGTGAACTTTTTGGCCAAATTTAAGTAGGCCATGCATAATCTCGATATCTTTTCCGGCGATTAGAATGGCATGGGTGCATTCAACTGTGGGCCATTCGGCGATTAACTTTTATCCAGGCCTCTCTCTCCTTATATCGATGATCTATGCATAATTTTTCACCATTTCACATCAAATATTTAGACACATGCATGTAGTATTAAATATTAAAAAAACTAATCACACAGATTGCGTGTAATTTGCGAGACGAATCTTTTAAACCTAATTGCTCCATAATCTGACAATATGGTGCTACAATAAACATTTGCTAATGATGGATTAATTAGGCTTAATAAATTTGTCTCGCAGTTTACAGGCGGATTCTGTAATTTGTTTTGTTATTAGTTTATGTTTAATACTTCAAATATGTGTCTGTATATCTGATGTGACACGCCAAAACTTTATACCTATGGATCTAAACACAGCCATAGTGTAAGCAACAAGCTTTTTTACATAAGAATGCATCATATCATAAAAGCATATTAGCCGCCCATATTTAAGAGTTTGGATAAACGACGACCATTGAATCAAAATACATGCACTTTTTTTAAAAAAAATACACAAATAAACTAAACATATGAAAATTTTCGGAGATTTATAATGTCTCCCGTTAGACACATAAACACGGAGAGAGAGAAAGAGGCAAAGACAATGAAAAAGATATATATAGGAACCTTCTAGTTATTTATAAAGTAATCTA